ATGAGTAATTTTCTCCGAACACGTAACTTATATTACACTATATTTATAAAATAGTGATAAAAGTTGCTTTAATAAGCTATTGTAAGACAATGGAAAAACTTTTTCGTTCAGGTTCTACGGTGCACAAAAGAATTTTTGGCGAGACGAATGGGGAAACAAATCACTGGATGTAATCCGAGCCCTTATTTTCTCGAGGAAAAACGAAGGAATTTTGATTTACTGCAAGTTTATTGAGATTTAGTATTCCTTTTMTTGTTCTTCTTGCATTTAGGTTGTTCTGGGCCTCTTGGAATGCAGGATGGGACGATACAAGACAATCAAATATCGGCCTCGTCGCGATTACACAGCAGGTGTGATCCCTCTAACGGCCGTCTTTACAAAACCCCGAGATTATATTTGGATGGGGGGTGGTGCGCAAAATATAACAGAATTGGCGAGTACATGCAGATAGACTTGGGGACAATGAAATGGGTGACAAAGATCGCCACACAAGGGAGAAACACTGCAAGTAAGCAGTGGGTGAAGGAGTACACTTTGTCCTTCACAAACGATACCATCACTTGGCAAGACTACAGAGGGGATGAAAACTGCACGAAGGTAAGAGCAAAGACATTTTTAAACTGCGTAATTGTTAAGTTGCGCGGTCAACATGGTGCCTGTCACCTCTGTAATTGCAGTTCCAATTAATGCCGGCAAAAGTGTGGCTTGTGTAGACATGCGCATCATGTTTTTCTGTCCCGACGTCACCTCCTGCGTGATCGACTCAATATTAGCCGTTCCGAGGTTGAAGAAAAAACTGGGTCGACTTAGCATTGCAGTGCATTGTGGGGCTGTTCTAGGGAACATATTTCTAACATGGCAGCTATTTTCTCCACTAAAACAACCCCAAAATGCACTGCTATGCAATCTCGACCCAATTTTTCTTCAACTTCGGAGTGGCTTTGTTTTTCTCTTCTCGTTTATAGTATCTATAATTTAACAAAATGTTTCGACAAAATTGGGTAAAATATATATATGAGCATATGTTTAGCGTAGTACGCTGTTAAATCAGAAAATATCYCATTAAACGTTTTAATTTTCCCTCATATTTTCATTTTTCACAGCGTTTCATTGGTAATACTGACATAAACACAGTTGTGACGCACGAACTTCCCGTGCCCGTCAAGACACGATACGTTAGCATTCTACCACAGGCATGGAAGGGTCGCATAGCGATGAGGGTTGAACTGTATGGATGTGCTTCTGTATGAAACCACACGCACAGCAATGAGTACCAACAGACTGACGGTACCCATCAAGACACGATACATTAGATGAAGAGGACACATATCGATGAGGGTTGAACTGTATGGATGTCCTTCTGTATACAACCACATGCACAGCAATGAGTACCAACAAACTATTCGTGCAAATGAAACTTGTCAATAATGAGGCACGTTTCACGAGCAAATGTGTGTTTTATCTAAAAAATAGTGTTTTTCAGATTTTAATTCATTGAGAGTTTGTAATTCAAATATCAAGTTTTTTTGGGTGTTAAAAGTTAAAATTCGCAACTTTGAAAATAAAGAATAAAATATAGAACGGGTAATTTTAATGGTTTAGTGTTACATGGAATTTTTAGTTACATGCATTACAATATAAACATATTGTTTGCATGTTAGACCACTGCAAAGGAATTGCTAACTGTCTCGTTTAGCCTATCGGTATTACAGCTGGCTTGTACCAATTTTCTGTATTTATGTATTTAAGTATATGTAATTTTGCGATTTTGGTACTAAATAAAGATTGATTGATTGACGGATGGCCAAAAACACTCAAAATTGGCATAAACTAAAATGATTAAAAAAAAGAAGTTCACTTCGTAGTCAAAGGGCTCGGAACATAGAGATTGCTTTTATTGTTGGATCACCGCGTGCGACTATCACAACAAAGACAAGCTATAATCTAATTAAAAGGCCAAAGAATGAATTGGAATTGATAAGTTGATTTAAACCAAAGGAACTAGGTGATGGTGTACCAAAATAAGAGACTATTCTGACCGTTTTTCGGAAAACGTTTAGCGTCATACATACTTTGTGTCAAGTTCTAATTACATTCTTATAAATCTAGCCTAAGCGTTATACTTTTCTTTCTTTTCCAAAAACGTCGTTCTTGGTTTTACTTACTGAATGTAGATTTGTTAGTGAAGTCTTCCAATTCGTTTATTTTCATTATCTAGAAACAAAACAAGAGTACGTAGTCATAGTTGTAACAGTTCTTGAACCACATGAAGAAGTTGAAAACAAAAGAAGAAGAATAACAAGCATCAATTATTAATTATTTTCAAAAGGATCTCCTTTTTAGCTGTGTATATTCTCAAGTTTGTATAACATTTGACTGAAGTAATCGTGAAGAAAGACAAAGAATTTGAGTTTTGCTTAGGATTACAAAATGGAGTGGATATTGCTCTTATTTACTGGTCTAACATTGATTAAATTAGCTAGAGGTAAGTACTCCTGTAAGGCTTTTAAATGTTATTTCACTTTTACAAAAAATTATGAATTTATTTCATTTTAAAAATGGTTAACCACTTTAGGATACAGATGAAAGTGTGGCCTTTAAAATTAAAACAATTCATCTGCGGTCGAGACGACTTCCCTGTCAAGTTCGATGAAGATCTGGTTGAGTAAAATAGTCCGGACATAAAAATTTCAATCTTCAACCTTAAATTTTTTTTAGCAAAGCCTGAATCAGTGTCGGCTGATCTATGTCAGGGCACGGCTAAATCACAGATCGCTCCCTAAAACACCCTCTGGGCTGATCAAACTCATGTCACGGCATTGCTAACTCTCAGATCAAACCCTGAAACAACCTCTTTGCTGATCAAAGCAGGGCACAGTTAACTCGCACATCGATCCGGTTACGGCTAACCCTTCGTAGATTTTGGGGAGGGACAAAAATCCCAAGGAAAACTCTCGAATCAAGGGAAAGAACTAACAAACCCTTCTAATGTGATAACAAATCAAGAAATCGAACCAGAGGTGAGAGGCGAGTGCTCGATCGTTACCCTACCCCTGATTCCCTTAATTTTTTGCAGCTTTTTTTCAAAAATCGTGTGCATTGTCACAAATGTACGACACTATAAATTTCAAAGGAGATTTGTCTCCAAAGATTGTATTGTATTCACGTGTGTTCCAGCCGGTGGTCTTATGGCAATGTAATTTACAGGTGGTATATTTTCAAAGCTTCTTGTTTCTACTTTTTCGTTTTATTGGTTATCAATTCTTTTCGAAAATATATAATGTTATACATAATCAAGCTTAATCAAGACTGAATATGAGCAAAAAACGCATTACTAAGTTTGCAATAAAAATACCAAGGCAAAGAACTCGGTTATATCAGTCTCATGATATTACTTTCGTAATAATTTGTTACTATAAACGTTTACCTTACAAACAGGTGATGGTGGTTGTAAGGTGCTTGACTATCTTGACTGTAGGAAAAACAAGATCTTCACTGGTCACCTCATCAGGTCTTTCAGAATCTTAGCACCCGGATTAGAGGATTGCCAGCACAAATGTTATCTTAAAGACAAATGTGTGTCGTACAACCTGGGTCCAGTAGAAGGAATGGCGAGAACATGTGAACTGAATGACGCTGATCACGTGTCAAACCCAGATCACGTGGTATCTAAGAAAGGCTTTGAATACTGTCCAATCAAGGTAAAACCACTTGTTTGTCCATCCCCTCCCCCACCACAAAAGCAAACACTTTTTAGAGTGCCACAAGGAAAACGGTCCTTGTGTTACATTATTCGTTCTGTTTCCTTCATTTTAATAATTTCACGCTACTTCCTGTTAAAAGTTCTTATGCATGTCGTTATTTCCTTCCTTCAGAACCACTGTTCTTCCAATCCTTGTCCTTCCAATCAGTGGTGTGCACCTGACTTCTATTGGGGCACGTTCAAGTGCAGCTGTAAGTTACCTATCTATTTCTCTACTCGCCTACCAACCTACCATAGTTAGTACCCTAGTTATCTATTCCAAATAATGTTAATCTATAACCTACCATCCTATAACCTACCTGCCGGCTTGCATTTCTGCTTCTCTTTCGGTCTACCTAACTAACTACTTACAACCCTCTTCTTGCTTTGAATCATCCAGATGGAAGGTTGACCCAGTGGGGTCCATGGTCTCCATGTCGTTGTCCTCTAGTTCGTTACCGTGGTTGTATCACCCCCATGAACACCAGTGCTCCACTTTTGTGTGAAGGATCGAAGATGGAGGAAGAGAAGAAATGCAAAACTTTCACCGATATCTCAGGTAAAAAAGCACATTCTGAGCATCTTTATAAATGTTACCATGATTTGATGTTGGGTAGACATGTAAGGAAAATCTGTACATGAGGATAACCAGACTCCTGCCCAGTCGCTCTTACACGTACTCGTGCTGTGTTACCTCGTGTGGAGCCAGATCTGCTCCCATACTCATATAATGGTACAGTGAGAACGATAGTAGATTATTACTTCTTTCAAATATTTTATTGCTGCAGTAACTTAAATTTACAAAAGTATTGTGCCCAGTAGTGTGAATAAATCACGAACATTTCTTTGGCTTGCATTTAGGTTGTTCCGATCCTCTTGGAATGCAAGACGGAAAGATACAAGACAATCAAATTTCAGCCTCGTCGACGTATCATGTCGGATATTGCAGTCCCTCTCACGGMCGTCTTTACGAAACCCCGAATTTTATTTGGGACGGGGGGTGGTGCGCAAAACAAAATAGAATTGGCGAGTACATGCAGATAGACTTGGGGACAATGAAATGGGTGACAAAGATCGCCACACAAGGGAGAAACACTGTAAGTAACCAGTGGATGAAGGAGTACACTTTGTCCTTCACAAACGATACCATCACTTGGCAAGACTACAGAGGGGATAAAAACTGCACGAAGTTAATAGCAAAGACATTTTTAAACTACGTAATTATTAAGTTGTGCGCTCAACGTGGTGCCTATCACCTCTGTAATCCGACGCAGCTTCAAACACATGTCGGTAAAATTACGGTAAGATTAAATCATTATGTTTTTCTGCTCTGTCACTCCCTTTGTGATCAACTTCATATAAAGTATTTTATTTACACTGTTTTTTTTTACTGTTGTCGTTTATAGTATCTATAATTGAAATGTTTCGACTTGATCAAATGGTGTCCAATATATATGAGCATAGCTAAGTACGCTGGTAAATGAAAAAAATTCACATAACTGTTTAATTTTCCCTCATGTTTTTATTTTTGACAGCGCTTCATTGGTAATACTGACATAAACACAGTTGTGACGCATGAACTTCCGGTGCCCGTCAAGACACGATACGTTAGAATCCTGCCCATAGCATGGAGTAGACACATATCGATGAGGATGGAACTGTATGGATGTACATCTGTATAAAACCACACGTAGTGCAATGAGCACCAACAGACTGACGTTACCCATCAACACACGATACATTAG